CTGGTCTCAGACTGCTGGGCTCAAGCAATCCTCCTGCCTCAGCCTCCCAAAGTGCTGGGATTACAGGTATGAGCTACTGCACCTGGCCTCTGGATATCTTCATATGTCCTTATATTCTTATGGAGGAGGAAAAAAGCAAGGTATCTCGTGTTTTTTCTTAAAAACGCACTAATCTTGTTCATGAGGGCTCTACCCTTATGATCTATTTACCTCCTGAAGGCCCCATCTCTAAATACCATTGTACTGGGCATTAGTCTTCAACATAGAATGTTGAGGATTCACATTCGGTTCATAGCAGCATCCTTGCCTTGTTTCTGACGTTAGGGGGAAAGTGTTTAATTTTCCTAAGTATTATGTTAGCTGTGTGATTTTCTCAGATGCCCTTTATAAGATTAAGAAAGTTTACTTCTACTCCTAGTCTGCAGGATGCTCTTTCATTTTGATTTTTTTTTTTTTTTAATTGAGACAGGGTCTCGCCATGTTGCCCAGGCTGGTCTTGAACTCTTGGCCTCAAACAATCCTCCGGCCTCAACCACCCAAAGTGCTGGGATTACAGGTGTGAGCCACCATGCCCGGCTTGAGTGTTCTTTTTAAAAATCCAGAGTGGGTGCTGGATTTTGTCAAATGGTTTTTCTGCATCTATTGAAAGTGATCATATGGGGGTTTTTTTCCTTCCTAGTCTGTTAATCAGTGAATTACGTTGACTGATTTTTGAATGCTAAACCAACTTTATATTCCTGAGATAAATCACAATTGGTCATGATGCATTACTCTTTTTAAATACATCGTCCAATTTTATTTGCTAATGTTTTGTGCTTTTTTTTTTTTTTTTTTTGCCTATGTTCATGGGAGATGTGGCTCTGTAATTTTCTCTTTTTTTTCCATAATGGGTTTGTCAGGTTTTGGTAATTGGATTGTGATGGGCTCATAAAATAATTTGGAAAGTTTTCTTATCCCCTTTGTTTTCTGCAAGAGTTGCCTGAGGTTGGTCTTCTTTCTTTCTCAAAGAAAGCTAGGACTCACTCGTGAAATTATTTGGGCCTGGAACTTTCCTTGTGGAAAGATTTTCAATAACAAATTCAATTTCTTTAATATTTATGGATATTTATATTTTCTGTCTCACTTTGGGTCATTTTTGATAATTAGTCTTTCAAGGAATTCATACATTTTATTTGAATTGTTGATTTATTGACAAAGTTATTCATAATATTATCACTTTTTATTCTTCAATGCTTGTGATATTTGTAGTGCTAACTCCTCTTTCATTCCTGATATTTGATAATTTGTAGGGTTTTCCTCTTTTTTTCTTGATATCTGACTAGGGGTTTATCAATTTTTAAAAATCTTTTAAGGCCAACGCGAAGGCTCATGCCTGTAATTCCAGCACTGCGGGAAGCCAATCAAGGGGCATAGTTTGAGCCCAGGGGTTTGAGACCAGCCTGCACAACATAAGGAGATTCCATTGCTACAAAAATTTAAAAATTAGTCAGGTATGGTGATACGGATTTATAGTCCTAGCTACTCAGGAGGCTGAGGCAGGAGGGTCACCTGAGCCCAGGAGTTTGAGGCTGCAGTGAGTTATGATTGCCCCACTGCACTCCAGCCTGAATGAGAGCAAGACGCTGTCTTTTAAAACATACAATCTTTTAAAAGACTTAACTCTTCACTGTTAATTTTCTGTTGCTTGTCTGTTTTCTGTAGCATTGATTTCTATTTTTAGTTTTAGTATTTTCTTCCTCTAATTAATTTGGTTTACTTTTCTCAGATTCTTTGTTTGTTTGTTTGTTTGAGACAGAGTCTCACTCTGTCACGTAGACTGGAGTCTGGAGTGTAGTGGTGCAATCTCAGCTCACTGAAACCTCCATCTCCTGGGTTCAAGTGATTCTCAGCCTCCCAAAGTAGCTGGGATTGCAGATGCCCACCACCACGCCTGGCTAATTTTTGTATGTTTAGCGGAGATGGGGTTTCACCATGTTGGCCAGGCTGGTCTTGAACTCCTGACCTCAGGTGATCTGCCCGCCTTGGCCTCCCAAAGTGCTGGGGTTACAGGCGTGAGCCACCGCACGTGGCCTCTTAGATTCTTAATGTGAAACCATAAATAATTAATTTTAAATCTTTCTTTTTTTCTAATACAAACATTTAAACTTTCTTCTTTTCTAATATGAGTATTTAAACCATAATTTTCCCCATAACGGCTGCTTTGGCTGCACCTCACAGATCCTTATATGTTACATTTTTATTATCATTCAATGCAAAATATTACATAATTTATTTTGGGTTTTATTCTTTGACTCGTGAACTATTTAGAAGTATATTGTTGCCCTTTAGCTGCCATCTTGCGTCCCCGCGTGCGTGCGCCTAATCTCAGCTGGTCCACCTCAGACCCCGTGAGCACCAACTCTAGGCCCCCTCGCGACCCCTTATTCGCTCCGACAAGATGAAAGAAACAATCATGAACCAGGAAAAACTCGCCAAACTGCAGGCACAAGTGCGCATTAGTGGGAAAGGAACTGCTCGCAGAAAGAAGGTGGTGGTTTATAGAACAGCCACAGCAGATGATAAAAAACTTCAGTTCTCCTTAAAGAAGTTAGGGGTAAACGATATCTCTGGTATTGAAGAGGTGAATATGTTTACAAACCAAGGAACAGTGATCCACTTTAACAACCCTAAAGTTCAGGCATCTCTGGCAGCGCACGCATTCAGCATTACAGGCCATGCTGAGACGAAGCAGCTGACAGAAATGCTACCCAGCATCGTAAACCAGCTTGGTGCAGATAGTCTGACTAGATTAATGAGACTGGCCGAAGCTCTGCCCAAACAGTCTATAGATGGAAAATCACCGCTTGCTACCAGAGAGGATGATGATGATGAAGTTCCAGATCTTGTGGAGAATTTTGATGAGGCTTCCAAGAATGAGGCAAACTGAATTGAGTCAA